TCGTGACCATCGGCTGCCATCACTTATCTCGAAGTTTTAACTGTGAGGTCTGAGAAATTGAAAATCATGAAGTTTTGATGACTGCCGAGTGTCGATTGAATGCAATGAATTTCATGACGGAATGGGATTGAATACAAGCTGACGTTTTGTTTCCAAATGTCAATCCTAAAACATTTCCTGCCGGAAGAAGATTGGCCGTTTGCCAAGCCTTCCGTATCCAGACTTGAGTGAGTGCAAGTGTTTCGCATCTCTTACGATAGATGGCAGCACGCACAAACGCCTGAAATTATGCTGTGCCGCAATGCGTATTCAGGCGGTATCGCAAGCGTTCGACGTCCGCCTCTATAAACATCTGTCTTACTGCCGGCAGGGCGAAGTATTGAGGTTGATAAGACACCAGCTGGGGAAGAAAACTCATTTTGATGGTGGAACAATGTGTGCCTTGGCTTATGAGTTGCGCACTATGTGAGCCAAGTGGATAGACAAATATGAAACATTGACGTGTGGGACAGTATAATGGTGGCAGGGTAAGAACTTGCTTTGATGGTGTCGTCCCATCCGCCGGTGAGCAGCACATCTCGCTGGTCCGGGTGGAACTTGATGCAGAACACGCTCAGCGCGTGGCCGCCACTGTCCTTTTGCGGCGTGCTTGGGTGATAGCCTTTGTACTCCTGGATCAACTGAACGGGGACAGAATGAGTTCGGTCAGTTTTCTGCAGTCTCATGGAGGGAGTGAAGTCTTGTGCAACCGCAACTGACTAACTTTAATTTCGTTTTGTAGCTCAGAGCTGTCAGATGTCACACAAAAACACGGATCGCTCAATACTGGGTTAAAGTGTGTTTTACATTCCTGACCATAGATGGCTGCACATATAAACGCCTGAATTGATGCTGTGCCGCAATACGTATTATACGAATGGTATGGTGTCACCAGTGTCACTACCTCCTTAAATCATCTGTCTCAACTTTCAGTAAGTACTGTGAGTGTGACAGTGTGTGCCATTAGCCTGAAGCGACAAAATCGTTCTTTCATCCGACCTGAGACCACACTGACCTCCTTGGTCTGAGTGTCGTAGATGCGCAGACTGAGGTCCTTCCCACCAGACGCCAGCAGCTCGCCGGCCATGTTCAGGTCGATGGCGTTGATGCGGTTGTTGTTTTCTGTTTCAACAGTTACAGCCACGGTGACGATAATCAGTGATGACATTGATCGGTAACAAATGAGGTAATCAGGGCGGCAGAACTAGTACTGGCACTAAACGCAATATCAAACGACGAATGCGTACAAATGCAATGTAGCTAAGAAGTAGGAATTGGAAAGCCGTTAGTGTGGACTACTGAACATTGTGGAGCGACTAACTTATGTACCTAAGTACAGTCCACAGCATAAGTAATGTGCGGTTTCAGTCCTGGGTATGTTCTGCTTCTGAAGCTTAGGATTGATTAGTCAGACCACAATGAAACTTTGAATGTAGCTAACCTGTATCGTTACTCAATGCAGCTGCAACTTTATCTATTGACGTCTTCTTTTCGATCACTCCGCATTAAACAATCGCCAGTCAAAGCCATCCATTGAGATTGGTAAAACCCTACATTACTTTAGCGGTGGGCTGTACCTCTGGCATTCGATTATTGTGATCGAGGAATCTGTGTTTGCCTTACCTTCGGCAAACTTCTCGCATTTCTCGTCTGGCTTTCCCGCCAAGTTGTGTCGGAAAATTGTCCCAAATATTGCGCATGAGTAGAGAATCTGTAACAACCGTGCATCACAGGTCACGTACCGGGATCTAGTCACACGACTCTGTGATGCAACCGAACGGTTCAAGTCAAAGCTGACAGTTATTCACGTTGCTATTGACCCGACTGGTTTCAAATGAAATAAATACTATCAACGTACGTACCTTGCTTTGCTTTGGGTGGAAGCGGACGGCCATAATAGTATCGTCTGCATAGCGGGAGCCCTTACGCAGCGTGCTCTGCTGTGTGAAAAGGCCCTGAGCGTCTTTTTCATACATCTGAAATGACAAATGACGGAAAGCGCGCTTCATCAGTAAAAAGAGAAACAACATAAGGCAGGCAGCATGTCTAATAATAGCGATTTACAAGCTTTTATGCTTATAGCAAAGTCGTATGGCCATGACTCTTGTTAGGTACTAATAACAATAAATATCTGCCAGAAGCAAACAGCTAGCGCCGAGGCGCTCGAGCCTGGCTCTAGCCACGGTCGGCTCGATTATCTTCCATCTGATCTGATCAAGGTGGCTGCAGACTTACCAGAACGGCTCCATTACCGAACCCCCCGACTAGTGCGCCACCTCCGGGAGCAAACCGTATCGAATAACATCCGCTGGCATATCTGTAACAGTCGGCGCACAGACAATTTGGTTAGCGTCAACCGACAGCTTGGAGGACTGGAGTAGCGCCGCTGCTCAAGACACAAACAGCACAGTCAGACGTTCAGAAAGGCCGGTGCGATCACATGTGATCCAGCTTTCGATAGAACTAGACACAATCTACTAAGCATAGGCTGGCTTTTAGCTTTTTTTCTTACGGCATATACGTGTGTTTATAGTTTGAACGGTATGAAGAAAAGAAAGCTACTAACCTTGGCGGCATGAGTGCCTTCTGCGAGATCTCGAATCCAGTGAGCGTTAGCTCTGGTTCTTGCAGCTGAGAGGCTGAGGGAAAGACAAAGGGAGAGAAGGGAGAGGGGCTGAAGAAGAGGAGTTACAGTGATAGGGAGGACTAATAATATGGGCAATTATGGAAAGGGACAATATAGACAATGCTCTGTAAGGAAAGGGATGGAGTAAAGAAGCAGCAACACAAGTTATGACTTATGCTTTGAGTGGTGCATATTTCTGAAACGTTAATTTTCCTCATCTTGACAGTGAAGCGAGTCGCGTAAACGTGCACCAGTTCTCGACAGTATCAAGCAATGGCTTACTGTCAGATTCTCTGGCGGTGACTGATCCACGTTTGATCAATCCAATGGATCTAGACGACAGGTAGGTGTGCTTCGACATGTTCCTGAAATGAGGAAATGGAAAACTATATCAAACATGTCTACTTAATCACCACATTTGGCATGGCTGCCTCGGGGCTGTCGGACAAGATTTAGGCCTTATGACACGGGCACATCTGATTTGTCACTCACCCGGTATGTTGGTGTAGATCAGAACAGTTATTGTCCTCTCAACAATTCATTTGGAGCTTTCAAACGTCTTTGAGAAGCACTATGTAGGTACTTAACCCGGCAGTTGCTGGGGTATTTCGCCACCCACCGTTTGCTGGGGGGGGGCGTTAAACGCCCCCAGCCGATAACTCGAGAACCAATAGGCGCAGCGAAACGCACGAGGCGGCAAACGAAAGAACGCGACGAGACGCTTCAGATGAGTACTTTTAAGTTGAATTTTGAGGTCACAGGTCAGGTCAAGGTCAGGTCAAACACCTGAAATCGGGCTTTCAGTAGCATGGACTTCAGGACTTCGCAATGGGCGCCTCTCGTCATAAACTCTGTCAAAACGGTGCACAATCCATCATATAAGGCCTACAAGAGTGTCAGCTCCATGCAGGGGTCAGTCAAGCATAGGTCAGGGTCAAGGTCAGGTCAACCGGGCGGGTGCATATCCCCGAAAATAAAAACTGATATTCGCAGCCTGTGACACATGTTTTATGGGTAATTTGGGGCGTAGAACACGATGGTGACATTCATTTTATCATATGTGTACGTGTTTGGCTAAAAAAGTTCAATTTAAGATATTCATGTATCATGGTCGTGAAGTAGTCACGAGAAATTGCCAAGATTCAGTTCAAGATTTTGGAAAATGCGGAACGATAATCAATAATCGAAGATAGCCATTTGATTCTTCATGGTATTGGCAGTCTAATGGCATTTACGGCATGTCTATATGTCTATTCTGTGATTTTATATGATTTTTGAACATATGCCGTTTTTGGTCGAAAACTCAGAAATCATGACGTCACTAAAACCTCGATATCTCAAAAATTTTCCGACTGATTTTTTTGAAACTTTGTCACAATAAACTTCAATCAATTTCCTACAGGTACCCAAAATTTGGCGCGCCTGCGGCGCGCCGTTTTTATGCTATGGCCCGGCGAAAAAAGTGGGGGCGTTTAACGCCCCCCCCCAGCAACTCGCGGGTTAAGATGTGAATTTTTAAGCAGCACTTTTGATACACGCACGTTGATGTCTTTCACATGAATAGCTAACCAAGTGATGATCTCGATAATGTGACGACCACCATTTACAAAAGTAATTGCAGTGAACGCTCAAAACAATATAAAACGTGTTCCATTTTACCCTAGCTTTGACCAAAACTGCGTCATATTTACGATATTTGCGGCGCATATCCAGCGTGGCCGGCAAACGGAGCTGCGGACACATCGTGACGTTCTTGAAATGGCACTTCTTGGTTGAATTGAATCCTCATTATCATCCACGTAGAAACAAAGACAAACGGTGAAGATCTCCAGATTGATGGGTCATTTCGACATTTGACACATCGTTGTTTGACGAATGAAAGAAGAAAGAGGAGCTTCGCCTAGCATAACGAAGGACATAACGAAGAGCGTAACGAAGAGACGAGAATTAGATACATGAAATGCATCATGCTTAGTTGACGAGGACGAAAAAAGACCATCTGTATCAGCACCGATGAAGGCATACATAATTCATACAAAAAGTGGACTTTCTGGGACCGATAAAATGCACAGCAAGACTACCGCCGAATTGACAAAGGCGGGTACAAACGTCTGCAGCTGTCAAAGACCAATCGGTAACCGCCGGCCCCCAAAGTCGATCATGTCACCATCAGTGGGTGATGACACCCTCAGATGACATGCGTCTGCCCAAGGCCGTCTGCCCCTAGGATGACGCGTGTGATATTACCCTCCCGGTCTGATGGAGAAATTATGGTCGTTCTCAGACAACCGATCAATTAGAGGAAGTCATGATCGGTGAGGGTCACGGGATCTTGGATCAGTGTGTTCCTGGCCGCGGAAACAGGTGGATCTCTTCTGCCCTGTCCATGGGAAAGGCGACATTTGATAGACAAACGAGAGCATCGGAAGATGAGGCTGGCATGACAAGTAAGTTTGCGTTTTGTGATGTCGTATATGTTCGTGACCACAATTTATTTATGTTTATGCGTATGGGTGTAGGCGGTAATGTATGCGCTTGTTAAACTAAGAGAGCGAAATAGACAAAGGGCCGTCGGGGGGAGGCAGAAAGGAAAACAACGAGAATGAGTGGAAGAGACAGAAGTGATAGAGAGAGTGAAAGAAAGAGCGAGAGAGAGGGAGAGAGAGAGAGAGAGAGAGAGAGAGAGAGAGAGAGAGAGAGAGAGAGAGAGAGAGAGAGAGAGAGAGAGAGAGAGAGAGAGAGAGAGAGAGAGAGAGAAAGACGGAGATAGAGGAACCCACGACCGTTCGTTCTTAAATGTTCTTCCACTTTTCGTCAGTTTTTTTATTAACTCGTCTATCCTCTTATAGGTCATGGTGTTGAGCTTCGTCACTCATTGTACTGAGTGGATGACAAAGAATTGGTTCTCTGATTTAGTCATCTAACTGCACAGCGCTGCATTCAAACAAAATGGTAAGTATTGTTCTTTAAAACGGAAAATAAACCGTGCGTTGACAGTTTTATTGGCTCAAGAAACTGCATTTAAGAATAAACGGTGGTTTAAAACGTTCGAAAAATTGTTCATTGCACAATGAAATAAATGTAGTAATCGCTTTATAATTTCCAGATATGTCGTGCGTCAGCCCTGTTACTGATAATATGTCTTAGTAAATGTCGGCTGTTAGGAGCAGGACCGGTTTCCAAATGGCAGTTTGTTGTAGTCTTTGTCAAATGGAAGTTCGTTATATTAGTGTTTGTTCTCTACATGCATATCTTTGCGTGGTTAATGAACGGCGATAATCGCCGGATTGCGAATCAAACAACCTGCTTATGCCGTTTCAGTACGGACTCATCCATAGCTGTGTCAAAGAATGGGTGATGAACAACTATGGGAAGGACAAATGGATGGAAATATTGTAAGTATAATATTTGCACATGAATTTTTTTAGGAGCGTACAATTTATTTGGTAAACATGTGACTGTTGTCTATGTTGCAACACAGATAATGAATAGACATGTTTATATTGCTACAATTCTTCCCCATGAATCTCTATTTAAAAAAAAATGTTTATTTTTCGAATCATCCGGTCTGATCGCCAGGGCAATATCGGGAGCGGACGACGAGCAGACGTTCCTCAACTTCCAGTGCTACCCCGACCAGGCCACCCTGGACTTCATAGGCATCGTCGTCAAACATTTGGGTAAGGGAAGCCGACAACGGCTTGTTGGGAATACAGGATTCTCAATTACTTTTTTTTAGACCGTGATGAAATATTTAGCCACTTTTAGTTGGCTTATATTATCGATAATTATTTTAGTTCTATTGCTCCGATATCCCAGCGCACACAGATGATATGAGGGCGGGGATTTGAAAGGGGACGACGAGTACATGCTCCAAGTCCATATGCATGCGACCTAATCTAGCCCATTCTATCGGAGGCCGGAGCTTTACCTGCTAAAATTTCAGTGATGAATTGAGTGATCAAAAATGAGTTTCATTTCCTTCTTAACATTCCGGCTGCTACTGCCACAGAGATCAGCCTCGAATACTTTCTGGAGGGGGTCGGTATGCATTTTGTCGATTTCACTATCGAGAAAGGCTACGGCGAGATGCTGCACACTCTAGGAAGAACCTTCCACGCATTTCTGGACAACCTCGACTATCTTCACTGGTGAGACCCGCATCTAATTACATAATACATATGGGGTGACACGCTCACAATATAAGCTCGTTTTACACGATGGATTAACACGTTCTTCTCGCCTGTCACAAGACTACATATGCGTTTTTCATACACATGTTTGATATGCTATATCCATTAAAGTATTCCGAACGCCTTTAGAAAACGATCGGGCGAAATGATCCCGGTTTTGTCGAGGCGTGCCTCATTCCTCACATTCAACACGTCCACCCGTTTCAGCTACCTGATGACCACGGCCTTCCCGGGGATCGTGATGCCGTCGTTTGCCTGCACCGAGGACACGGAGCGGCCGGACGTGCTGTATGTCGATTACTACTCGCGACGACAGGGGCTCCAGACGCTGGCCATAGGTGCGATAATATACACAATAATATAGTTCAAAGGCTCGCTTGCAAGTCGGGAGAATATCATCGTATGATACAGGGTGGACCAAAAAGGATGGAAACATTTTAAACTCTCATAAAACATGCAATATTGCATGCAGGTGACTGAAAATGATACCAAACGACAGTATATTTTGTGGAAATTCATAATGACATCATGCTCAGCTGCTTTCTCTCGTTTTCAGTCTCTCATAGTAGATGTTCGAGGAGACCACCTTTGCGAGACAGGCACAGATCGGCCCGCCTCGCGGCTGACGCGATAGCCCGACGACACATGTCCTCAGGTATGACTCGCACAGCCTTGATGATCGCTCTCTTCAGGCCACAGAAGCTTGCTGGACCTTCTTTGTAGACCTGGCCCTTGAGATGAGGCCACAGGAAAAAAAATCCATAGGGGTCAAGTCAAGTGAGCAGACGGGCCAGTTCCGACTGGCACCGCGGGATATCAGCCGGTCACCAGAGTGGTTCTCGATCCACTTAAGCATTGTTTTGCTATGCGAGGAGAAGCATCGCCTTGCTGGAACCACATGAGGTCCAAAATACTGCCATACGTCGCTTGATCTCACTTCAAGAACTTCTTTAGCGTCGCTTGGTAGGTCAGCCACGTCGCACCCTGGAACCGAAGTGGAACTGGCCTGTCTGCTCAACCGACCTGACCCTACTGGATTTTTTCCTGTACGGTCATCTCAAGGGTCACCGGTCGTGAAAATTCACTAAAGCTTAAAGAAGGTTCTGTAAGCTTTACTGACCTGAAGAGAGCGATCACCAAGGCTGTGCGAGTCATACCAGAGGACATGTGTCGTCGGGCTATCGCGTCAGCCGCGAGGCGGGCCGATCTGTGCCTGTCTCGCAAAGGTGGTCTCCTTGAACATTTGCTGTGAGAGACTGAAAACGAGAGAAAGCAGCTGAGCATGACGTCATTATGAATTTCCACAAAATGTACTGTCGTTTGGTATCATTTTCAGTCACCTGCATGCAATATTGCATGTTTTATACGAGTTTAAAATGTTTCCATCCTTTTTGGTCCACCCTGTATATGTCAGTAAGTCGCAATATACTAGATATAATTACTCAATTTGCAAATGATACATGGGAACTGGGAAGCTAGCGAGGAGCTCCCGAAAGCAGCAGACGACGGATGCCACCAGCTATGCCCTGAAGGCTTGTATCCTTTTCCCTTTCGTAGGAGCCCTGAAGGGGTGCGCCAAGAACTTCTACAACCTAGCCGTCCAGTTCGAGGTGATGTGGACCAGGGAGGAGAGGATCAACGAGGAGGAGGTGGTCCACCACGTGCGACTGAGGTAAACCAACAGTGGAATGCAAGAAGGAAAATCGTATGGTCTTGTAGATATGTAAAATAAACCAATGAACTGCAAGCTTTTAACGAAGCATGTGTCAAGATCGTCAATTACGACACAACGCCACATCCGATGCCATTCCTTTGACACAATGAATTCCCAGTCTGACAGCCGCCCTCCTCTCGTCAGGGTGACCCAGCTAGGCCAGCTGACCACCCCGACTCTACCTGTGCCCTCCGGGGACCGTCCTCGCTCTGCCCTCTCCCTGGCCCCCGCGGCAGATACGTTGGCTCCAGCTGAGGTCAACTTTGTCAACACGGCTGAGTTTTCGGCGATACACCCCTACCACTTCATCTTCAACCAGTGAGCAGTGGCTCGGCTGATGGTGACTGGTCAAATGTAACGCTATAAAGTGATCCCTGCTTTCTCAGAAGTATTACCTGGATAGCCGATGCCGCTATTGCTCTAGTGCAACGCTACTGAGGTGGTCAATAAATTGCCCTAAATTTATCTTTCAAAAGATTTACAGTCAGACTACGCTTCAAAATATAAACGGATTAAACATGCTATTATCTCACATTTAAAGTGCCATTTTTATTACGAGGTCAGCATATACGGCCAATTCTATTCCCAGGGGGCTGAGAGTGCAACAGTACGGTTTCGGTATCGGCGTGCTATGCCCGGAAGTGACGTCATTTCCGGCCGTGGACGAGCTGCTGGAGCTCGTTTGGCCCTACACCACCTTTAACTTTGAGAACGTGGAGCGCTTCAAGAACCTGGTGTTCCAATTTGCCGTCACTAAAGGCACAGAGAAGACGGTGGGCACCGTTCTCAGAGGTAAGAATAAGACCAATGGTTTTGAAGCAAAAAGTCGGAAAAGTGATCGATGATCGTTACTATAATTGAAAATTTAGAATTGCTCGCAGAGTTCGGAATTTGGAAAGGTTGTTAGGAATATATGACAGATAACATGATTTAAACGTTTAGGTGCCAAGGTGAGTTTATTTTACCATGTGACAGAAAGAAGGTGATGACTGATAAGCACAACTGAATGTTGAATGGGCTGTTTGCATTTAATGTTCTAAACTTATACACTTGAATAATAATTTACGAATTTAACGTTTTCAGGCGAGCTGATTTTTCTCGGTGACAACCGGGTTCTGTTCCTCGGAAACCCGATGGTGACCAGTTTGAAGGAGCTGGCCGAGAAATCGCTGAAGATATCCGACATTCCCCGTTCGGACTCGACACGGGAGCTGATCCTCCTCAAACACCAGCGCAGCACCGAGTTTGATCTCATGTAAGACAGCTGACTCGGACTTATCTCCTGCATTAAATCTCATACAGTGTAGAGCAGAATTGACAATGTCAAAGCATGGAGTTTAACCTCATGTTAGGCGATGAAACACGGAGTTTGCCCTCGCATTTGTCAGAAAAGCAAGACGGCTGATAACTCACCACAAACGAAAACGTCAAACATCGTCTTAATTATTGCAACGAGTGAGTTACGAGTACATTGCTCTTACATTTATAAGTGTGTATACCGTGCAATGTATAGTTGGCTATACAATGTATAGTATACATTGACGTTATTTGCCATTACGTCATACGTCATTTGCTGACGTCACTCAGGCAGCGTCTGGAGGCCACCACGGCGGAGCTGAAGCGCACAGCCGCTGCCCTAGAGAAGGAGAAGGAGAAGACAGACCGGCTGCTGCACAGTATGCTACCCCCGGAGGTGGCGCACAAGCTCAAGAGCGGAGACAAAGTTCAGGAGAACTTCGATAGCGCCACTAGTGAGTGATGGAGGACGAGGGTAGTTGATAACGCGGGATATGAAAGAGGAATAAGAAATTAGAGTTGATGTATCATAGAGCATCGCTTATATCCCCATTACCATGGGTGCATACCTGAATTGGCTAATTGCTATAACATGTGTATCGTACGTATACATACATACGACTATGGGTTGATTTGTCTTCAATCGACCCAGTGAACATTATTTTATCTTTTTTACAATAAGCTATCTGGAAAACGGGGAGATCCCTTTATGTTATGGATTTGACGTCATACTCCGTACCTCCACGTACTTTACAGTATACATTAGTAGGCCCACGTGCGTTACACCCACGGTACGTCAGTAGCATGTCATTGCTTAGCGCTGTGTCCACACCACTACACCAATTACCGGCCGAGTTCTGACGTCACTGGCTAACGTCACTGACTGACGTGTTTCCAGTTCTGTTCAGCGATATCGTGACGTTCACCGTGATCGCCTCCCATTGCGAACCGCGTCAGATTGTTCAGCTGCTGAACGAGATGTATACGCGCTTCGATGATGCGACCGAGAGTAACGGCGTCTACAAGGTCAGTGCGGCGTGCTTTGGATCTATAAGCTACAACACAGTGTGTAATTGTGTAGTTTATGTCAGTGTTCGCCATGGGCCGGGCCAGCCCAATGGGCCATGGGCTGGGCTGGGCTACGGGCTGGGCTGGGCCCTCAAATACGAAGGATCGATGGGCTGTGGATGGGCTGGGCCAGGAACCGTTAAGTGGAGTCAGGGGCTCGCAACTGAGACAAAAACTATAACTACATAGCTTATTACTGTGCAAGACTAAAAAACGAGTCAATAAAGCACGCATGCAATGTGCATTGTGCATGCGGCTCGCAAAATATTGTTTCTTTGCTACCTTTGGGTACCTGTGCGGTGTCAATAATTTTTAACCCATTCATTTTTGACGGGCTGGGCCGGGCTGGGCTTTGACGCTTTTACCATGAATGGGCTCGGGCTGGGCCGGGCTGTAAGCCCATGGGCCTGGGCTGGGCTAGACTAAGATTTTGCGGCCCGTGGCGAACACTGGTTTATGTGCATGGTAATTACAGTACTTTTGAAGTGTGATCTGCACAAGACCAGTTCAATGCCCAGCCGTGTGAATGTTTTTTTTTTTTTGTAGCGCAGGCTCAGGAAAATGATGTGCTTTCCAAGTCTTCGTTGTTTTTGGGCCTATTCTAAGGTCAGAAAGTCACTCTCTTTTTACCTCTTTCCGGTCACGTCCCCTGTCGGTCTATTGGAGCCTAGAGCCCCGGGTCGGCCGTCCTCTCGCTACCACCCTCCAGACACATACATATCCCGTCGGCCCGTTTCAGGTGGAGACGATCGGCGACGCCTACATGGTGGTCGGTGGGATCCCGGGCCGGGTGCGGGACCACGCCACCCGAGTCACTAGCCAGGCGATTGACATGGTCCGGCTGGCCAGGCAGGTGGCGCACCCCATCACAGGAGCGCCCGTCCAGGTCAGCGCACCGGCGGTCAGCGCACTTTTGGTTAGATGAGTCAGACCACTGGTGGTTAGGCAGAGCATGAGTGACTGGTCACTGTCGAGTGTCGATTAGTACGGCATTATATTACCATGTCACTACACGGTGATGCCGCTACCAGGTCAGGTCACTGGTGATTAAAATAGTTGAAATCATCGAATGGGTGGGATCTTGGCAGATAAACGTTCAGTTTCATTGTTGAACGGGTATTTGCTCAGACACATGATGCGAACCGTGGTACCGTAGCTCTGGTACCGTATAAAGCCGTTGGTATCGACTCTTTTGTTTGAAACTTCTCTGTATGAACTGCTGGTCACTCCCCGGTCAGATTCGCGTGGGCCTGCACACGGGCCCCGCGGTGGCGGGGGTGGTCGGTCAGAAGATGCCCCGCTACTGCCTGTTCGGCGACACAGTGAACGTGGCCAGCAGGATGGAGTCGCACGGAGTGCCCGGCAGGATCCACCTGAGCGGCGACTGTAAAAGGTGAGATATAGTACATACAGCGGCGATTGTAAACGGTGAGATATAGTACATACAACGGCGACTGTAAACGGTGAGATACAGTACTGCGGCGACTGTAAACGGTGAGATATAGCATGTACAGCGGCGACTGTAAACGGTGAGATACCAGCGGCGACTATTAACGGTGATATAGCAAACAAGAAAGACTGCAAACGGTGAGTTAAGGTAGTGACTGATCACTGAAGATGGCGAGGTACAACACAGGTGACTGAAACGCTGAGATAGTGTAAATATAGCGGTGATTGTAAACTGTGAGATAGTGTTCAGCGGAGACTGCAACCGGTGGGATAGTGTACAGTAGCGACTGTAAATGGTGAGATCCGCAAACGGTGGGATCGGTGTTGCTAACACGCCTGCTCTTTTCCCAGGAGGCTGGAGGCCGAGGGCTCGCCGTATGCCCTAGAGTCTCGTGGCATCACCGAGATCAAAGGCAAGGGCATGATGGAGACATTTTTCGTCGAGTCGGTGTACGACCCAGCTGTCGGCAGAGGCATAAACGACGCAGCGGCAGACGTCGGCGACAATTCTGGCGCAGAGGCTGGTCAGAGCGCCGATAGTAGTGCAGCACAACACAGCAGTGTCTGTGGACTTCAGTAGGTAAACGCTCGCACATACGCGCTTCAGCTACGGCTGGGTTCGGTATTTAGCTAAGCTACATATGCGTAGTTGTGGCCATGCAGTATGCACGATGCAGCGCACCTTAGTACAAATACGACAGAAGTTAACATGACTACATTGAGTGTTTGATGTAAGCTACTTTTTTTAAGCTTTGGTTACATTGCTTTTGCTTGTATAAGTAATGTAGCTTTTTGTCTCGCAGCTTTGTTTATCTAGCGACAAGTCACAGCACCATGAAGTTAGAACGTGTTTAATGCCTCATCATGGCATGTTAGTAACCTGCCGAATATGGATTAGGTACTCATCCTCTACAGGCATCGTCTCATGACATCAGGAAATCAGAACATTTATGTCCACCTTTGTAGTTGTAGTGACGAAAAAAGACGTAAATGTATAACCAGTAAAACGCCTTTTGGGCGAAGAACGAGCGAGCGAGATAGTGAGCCCTGCACGTGCGGAAGGGCGAGATGGTACTTCCAACCGGCTTGTGCAAAGCACCCTTCTAACCGGTCGCTAGCGGTGTGCCAAATTTGAACGCAATCGGCCCAACCGTTCCTGAGATCTGGAAGCGGCATTCTGCACGTGCGCACGTGCAAACGGGGTCCAAAATGACTTTTGCACGGCACCCTACTAACTGGTCTCCAACCATGTACCAAATTTGAGCGCAATCGGCCCAGCCGTTCTCGAGATCTGGAAACGCCCCCTGCACGTGCGCACGTGCAGTAGCACCCTAACCGCAACACATGGGAATGCATTGCCTGGTGGGTGCCTACCTGTATGCCAAGTTTCAGCGAAATCGCCCCAGTAATTACCGAGTTACTGAAATGGGAACAAATTTGGCACCTCTTATTGTTGTGTTTTGCACGTGCACTGGGGGTGACCCACATACATCGAGAGTATCCTATATTGGGTAGAAGGGATGCTGCTACCCTACAAAAATTACCGCAAGTCAATCGCCCAAGCGGCTGCTGAGATATGAGCCTCTCAAAATCACTACTTTTGCAAAACAGCTTGAACACCCTTGACTATTCACGTGGCACGTGCCACGACGGTCACTGAGATGTATCAAAAGTAGTCAATTACGGGGTAGAAGGGATGGGGCTACCCAACAAAAAAGACCGCAGGCCAATCGGTCCAGCGGTTGCTGAGATATAAGCCTCTCAAAAGCGTTACAGGCCGGGCCGGGCCGGGCCGGGCCGGGCCGCTCATACTGAGATTTTTCCGTTATTACGGAGCGAGCGAAGCGAGCGTAGTCTTTCCTTAGATTAACGGAAATTTCTGAGTATGAGCGGCCGGCCGGCCGGCCGGCCGGCCGGCCGTGCGGACGCTTTTGCGAGGCTTATATCTCAGCAACCACTTGACCGATTTACACGGGGTAATTTTTGTAGGGTAGCTTCATTCCTTCTACCAAGTATTGGACTATTCCCGATGCATGTGGGTGACCCCTTATGCACGTGCCACGCGCAAAATGAAGAGGTGTCACTTTTGTCATTGTTGCAATATCTCGGTAACTACTTGGCCGATTGCGCTGAAAGTTGGCATGTAGGTAGGCACCCACTAGGCACTGCATATCCATGTGCCAGAGTTGGGGTGTTGCTGCACGTGCGCACGTGCAGGGGTCGTTTCCAGATCTCGAGAACGGCTGGACCGAAAGCGCTCAAATTTGGTACATGGCTAGGGACCAGTTAGTAGGGTGCCGTGCACAAGTCAGTTGGGACCCATTTTGCACGTGCGCACGTGCAGGGTGCCGCTTCCAGATCTCGAGAACGGCTGGGCCGATTGTGCTCAAATTTGGCACATCGCTAGAGACCGGTTAGTAGGGTGCCGTGCACAAGTCAGTTGGAGGTACCCCCTCGAAATTTCGCACGTGCAAGGCTCACCCTCTCGCTCGCTCCGTTAGTCGCCCCAAAAGGCGCTATACTGGTATTGAAAAGACTCACTTCGCTCGCTGCGCTCGCTCGCTCGTAACTATAGACTCATGCTAGAGCATAAGATTGATCGGCGTTCACTGACACAATATTTGCAAAATGGAAATTGTAAACAGATACATATAAACAGAAAACGGTCTAAATATTTCCCGACTGGATAGACTGTGTTTTCCGGTAATCATATATTTATCAAATACCCGGACACTCATATTCCTCGTTGGAAGCACAAACACCGTTGGTCACAAAGCTCTCCTTACAAGGTACGCTCACTAAATAAACAACACCATGGCGACATTCTGTCCACAGTTTTATACATTTCATTGTTGCACATCACACAGCTCGCTCAATTACATGACATCGTATTGCTCTGATCTCTCACTCAGGTGGTAAAAGTGAGGCATGATCGTCAAAGAAAACTTCACAATCTACATCAGAGCAAAGGTAACGGGCATACTGGCTTCCAAAAGAGTTAACATAAGATACACTGATAATGTTACAGATGTTTAGACATTACATTCAAATAGTTACTGACGCAGGTTCCGTAAAAGTATGACATGTTTTACCCCCCCCCCCCATGCTACATAAAAACAGCACCTCGAGGACACTCTTGTCACCACTGTAATACAGTTAAAACAGACAGCGCACGTAGCCTCATCCGATGCTGATCGAACAAAATACATCATGCTGCGCGCTATTCATCGTCCGAAACCAGTACCAAATGTTCTGAAGAGTTTGAGCACAAGCAACAGGACGAAAAGTCGAGAAAACGTGGTTATATTTGGAAGGATCAATTTTATAATGCTTGTCTAGTTTGTATGGGTTGAAGCTGTAAAACCATCGCACATTTCTACAGCATACGCTGGTGTGGCTATTTCAAAAATGCTGGAAATCACGCACAGTTTCCGTGCAGTTTCCGCGCACCGATTGTACAGCACCACACTTGTATGGGACGGACTGTAACGTCTTTCCTGGAGGACGGAATGTTTCTACGGCTCAAAATGACAACCGCACGGATAAAACATCCATGAAAAGTTAAATCACTCGTTGGAATGTTTGTTTAAAAGGTGGACGGAACATTCCTTGACCTCGGGCAGGGTAACCGTTCATAGGCGCTGACAGCCAACACTTCTCCGTGATACTGTCTCACCATCGGTGGTTGAACACTATTCTACCTCCAGCGCGGCATTGTCGGCGCCATGCAGCTCATCGCGGCGCATCAGCTGACCGCGCACCGAGAGCAGACGTTTTCTGGCCTCCTTGTCGCCGGGACCCCAGCTGGGCAGGGGACGGAACGACTGGAGGAAATTCTGCAAACACACAGTGCCAGCGTTACCGCAAAGCATTCATTTCTTTCAGCATTCCTTCAACCTTCAACGTATGGCTCTATGGTGATTCGCATGATCTGACTCTGGCATTATTCTGTTGTTGGTGGTGGTGGTGGTTTACAACCACGTATCTCGAAAACAGGCATGACGTGTATCAAGTTAACAACAAACTTACTATTTCCGACGTCCAATATAGAGTCTAGAACTCCTGAGATCTGTGACTTACCCCCTTAAAGGTGTAGTAAACCAGCACGCACAATCCCCAGATGGGAATCTGTAGGACGGAGACTCCGGCCAAAGCCCAGCCAACCCCGACAGCCCACGTGGGGTACTCTTCGTCACCGTAGGTGGGCGGCTCAAACTGGTACGTCGAGTACACGAAGATAATCTGTGGAGAGGTAGTGGAGCGGTGAGAATGGCGGTTTAGCGGTCAGTTCGAAACACAGCAGAACTATCAGGAACGAGGAAGTGGTTCTGTAAAACTGAACCACGGTTGGTGCCTGGTGGTTAGGCAAGACAGAGCCACAACTGGTGTTGACCATCGGCTCCATACCAAACTATACCAATTAGTATGGTGATACTTGCGCAGTACGCCCGAGAGACTTCCTAACGTATGAAGCATCGTTACGTTTTCCTCCGGAGCACATACCCCGAGCATGAATGGCGCGATGAGCACCCAGCACACTTTGAAGACGATGCTCGGCTTGAAGTCGTTCATGAACTGGATGTTGTCACAGAAGCGGTTCACTCCGTACACCCACATGATACCGACTAGCTCGAACACGGCTATCAGCATGACGCCCAGTCCTCCGAATGTGTCCATCAGCTTCAGGACGTACGGACCGGCCTGTGGACAGGGGTCAAAGGTCAGTCAGAGGTCAGTAGGGGTCAGCTGAGGTCAGCCAGGGTCAGCAGGGGTCAGCTGAGGTCAGTCAGGGTCAGCTTCAGCACGCATGGACCGGTCTGGCACCTGTCGTCTGAAGTCAAACAGGTTTAGCGTTCAGCTGCGATCAAGCACTGGTTTGAATTTTGAAGTGATGACTACTTTAAGCGACGTCTCCTAATTGTAAGGTTATATGAGTCATATAATCTGTTGAGTGACTTCAAAGCTCTAAACAATCCTTTTATACCACATACGTGAGATCGGCTAGTTTCGGTCTAAGAAGTCTAGCACATCACCACACTAAAAAAAAAAACATTCTGAAAGGAACGCACCTCGTCATGACCTTACCTGTGAAACGCAGGGCAGTCCGAGCAGGAAGCAACTGCTGGAGGCCGCGAATGTGATCAGAACCTTGTAGTTTCTGCTGGACGGGATTGTATCGTAGATGGCTGTCGTGAAGGTCTCCAGCAGCGCAAACTGTGGGACAAAGGGTGACAGTATGTCAGTGATGCAGAATAAATCGATAACAAATTACGTATCGGAGCTGTTGATATTGGTGGCACGTACAACTTATTAATCTCACTAGCTCTTTTCGACAAACTGTCTCTCAAGAGATATCCTTCTCCATGCGTCTAGCTCACCTCCGAGTCCAGTCCGAGTGTGTAGAGCATCAAGAAGAACAGCACCGACCAGAGCTGCCAGCCGGGCACGTTTCCAATCGCTTCTGGGAAGGCGATGAAGGCCAGATTCTGTCCCGACTTCACCACATCACCGACTTCAACTCCACCCGATCTCGCCATCGAGCCGAGGATGCTGAACACAGCTACAGAGGCAATGATGGAAGTCAAGAAGTCCAGGGAGGAGATGACCATGGCGTCGATGTGGACCTTGTGGTTGAACTTGTTGTAGGAGCCGAACATGATGAGGCCGCCCCAGGAGACGCTGAGAGAGAAGAACATCTGCTCGGCGGCCTTCTGCCAAACCTGCAGGGAGATCCGGTTGTCAGTCAGGTGCCGCAAGCGACAAGATGAATAATGCATAAGTGGAAACGATCCCTGACTCATGA